CCCCATATTTTACGACAACAATAATAAAAATATTTTTAAAAAAATTACTACTAGGAAATTAAAGCCTAAGACCATATAATTTGCTTATTTTTATGTATTTTTATCTGTTTATTTTAATTTTATAAAGTGTAAGAAGCCTAAATTTTTACCTGATCTAAGATTACCCTGGTTCTAATTAATACAAAAATGCAATTTTATACGCATTTCACAAAATTGATTCAATTCTTTCTACAAGTTTCTTAAATGAAATTGCTTTGTAAATTTTGATGAAACATTTTAATTCTATTCCTCCTACTTAACTGAGAGCAACCTAACGGAGACCAAGCTCATCTCGTGATGGCTAGATATTATATATCATAATTATATAGTTATATATTATATCTCTTTCAAGTTGGAAAGAACGTTGAAAACAGACACTCTTTAGAAATATCTTTTCTTGTCGAAAACACATTTAAAAAGTAGCGTATATGATAAGGGAGTAAACATTGCGATTTTTTATATTTAAATAAATCATGTCTGGCAATGAGAACTGGTTTTATGCTAAAATATGAGCCTTTAAATTTTCTAAACTCTGAAATTTGGCAAAAGAAATTTATAGACAATATTTGAAAAGAACTCCTTTCTTGTTCAAAACATACACGCTGAAAAGAACCAATTTTTGAGTTATATGGGTGTCAAATCACTTAAATTGGACGAAAAAATTTTATATACAATATTTAAAAATTATTTTTTGTTAGCATTTTGCACTGAAAATAGCGTAGATACCAATACTATTAGATAAGACGTCTACCGCAATGTTTTTAAATGCAAAGTTTTTCTAATAGTTTTTTAAAATACAGGCTTTAATTTTTGCTGAAAACATATATTTTCTGAAAATATTTAAAATATTTCTAGACAATGTTAAAAAACTCTATGCTTACTCAAAAACACATTCTGAAAATTATGAAGCCATTATTATAAACGGGGTCATTTTCCGAATTTTTTATAATTATTTTAAATCAAGTATTGCAATTAAAACTATCTTGTTGAAATCTAGGCATCAAATTTTCCGAAAATAGCCTAATTGGTCAAAAAGTATTTATAGATAATCGTTAAAATCCATTTTTTGTCTAAAGTACACTCTGAAAACAGCATATATACCAATATTATAAGAGAGGCACTTTGTAAAAATTGTTTTAAATCTCGCCATCTTCTATTTCAAATAGATTTCATGCTAAAATAATATAGTCAATTATTTCAAAAACTCCTACATTTGTCAAAAAATACCAGTAGATAATCCTTAAGAAAATCTTTTCTTGTCTTAAACACACTCTAAATAGAGAATTCATTCTAAAATATGGACATCAAATTTCTATAATTCATTTTTTTCTTTTTTTGCATAATGAGTAGCACAACTATGCAGGATACAAAAAAAATTACCTGCTATTACTATGAGCTTCTTGGGTTATAGTTATAAAGTTACTCAAATTACTTTTTTCAGCAGTCATCCTGCATACGAATTACTACCTAAATACCCGTTCTTTGCTCGGGATCAAAAAAACATTTAAGAATTAATGACTCGACATTAATTAGCATTATGTATTCATGTAGTACATATCTAAAATCCATGCAACGACAAAATTGATTAAGTTAAAATAATTCTGTTATCAATATTGATCTTCTCGATTACCTTACGTTGAGAACTAATAAATTATTAAGCGAAGCACGAAGTTCAACTTATTGAATTAAAGATTAACCATGCTTACTATCAGTTGGCACTGAAAATGATGTTAATTTATTATTGATTGATAACTTGACAGCATAGATTTATCACAATCAAGGAATATTTCGTAGAATTTACCCTTTAGTAAATATTTTAGTTTTTATTTATTAGATTACTGTTAATTTTTCGTAATTAAAGTTTGTAGAAAACAGAAGAGCATCCATAAAGGAAATAATCACGTCATTCCAGATAGTATTCGGTCAGGTAGTCGTTATAGTTCGTCGCTTGAGCTTTCTTGGTTAAAGGAATCAAAGAAATAAAATTATAGAAGAAAGTGAGATAATTGCTTTCTTGATTAAATAGAGCTGTGAAGTAGCAAAAACATCAACGGTATTATCTTTGAAATATGAAAAACAGAATCGTGTAGCTTAATTTATAACAATGGCTAATGCTAAGTCAATGTGAAAAAACGTCTCTCATAAACGGACTATTTGAAAATTCTGAACTAAGTAAAGTTCCCCCCACCTCATGTGTTATGCTAATTGCAGGATACTAGTACAAACAGTTCAGGAGTTATGAAAAGGATACCCACACACAAACGCATATACAATCTCTTCCTTTTATTATATAGATTTTTACACTGATAAACTATCACTAATTAGAAATACCTCTGCCTCAATATTGTTTTTTGAGCTTAGCTCTGTTTATTTATGGAGCACTCCAGGGCCAAAAAGTCAATGTTTTTTGCAGTCAAAACTTTACTTATTTATTTATTTTTTTTGCAATTCTAGTTGGGGCGATACTCATATAATAACAAACCCTATCACTTTGAATCAGCAATTCCCATTTTTTTTTCAGCTGAGAAAGCCTAATGATCGACCTTTTCACGGCTTAACTACCATCTTATAAATAAAGTATATAAAAACAAATGTGATAGTATTAATCAACAAAATATTACTTTATTTATTTCAAAATATTTAAAAAGAGCAATGATTAGGTCGGTTGTTCAACACCGACCTTAAAAATAAAGTTAAGTATAAAAGGAATAAAAAAAATTTCATCGTTTTTTTTATTGATAACACTTGAGAACATTTTTTTTTTCGGTTGCAGGAGATTTTTTTAACAGATCTTGGATATTTTCACTTCGCTGATTTTAAATGCAATTGGTTTTTTTCTCTCTAAGCTGCAGTTTTTTTAAGTGACACTTATAATTATTTTTTGACGAAATGTGCAAGTTTAAAATAGTTATAGATAACAGGGGGTCGCATAAATGTTGCAACACACTTCTAGGGGAGTTAAGATACATCATCGGGATTAAAATTGCATAGGGAACTCACGTCATATGAGGACGCTTCCCTATTATTAACTATTTCTTCGTATGATTCTGAACAGGCTATGATAGAGAAGTGTCCCTTGCCGCGTACAATGACATTTCCGGGAGTGGATTCCTATGCAACTTTAATTCTGACGATATGCCTTAACTCTCCTAAACATTTGTCGCAATGTCTACACAACGTCTACTGCGACCCCCTGCTACACAAAACATTTTTGAAACTTGTATATTGCGACAAAATATAGACTAAAAATCTCCTTTTAATATCATTTGCAGCATTAGGAGCAAAACTATATTCAACAGTGAAATCCTCACAACCGAAATAAGCAAGATCAAGTAATTTTTTATTTTATAACCGTCGTTGAACAGCAGATCCAATTTTTGGGTTTACGACTACTAATGTTCAACTCCATACCCTTGTAATTTTGAACCCAATTAAAGACAAGGAAACTCCTGGATCACGTATTGGGAGAAATTTGCCTTCGTGGAGGACTTTTTAGTGAAACTAATCTGCATTTGCATTACATGGAGAGGAAGACCACGAGAACCTTCCACGGTTAGCCTGATGGCAAGGGGACTCAGCCCATGATCCGTCTACCACTGAGGATATTTCAAGTCAGCACTGTGGTCGGTGCAAGCTGGATGCGGAATTCGTGTCGACCCCAGCTATTGGTCCCCGCATCCGGTTCACTTCATTAGAAGGCGAGCGCTCTATCCATTGAGCCATCGCGGCTCATGATCAAATATTTGTATTAATGAAACGAAAATTAGTTTCCCAGTGTAGACTTATGTCCCACAATTGAATTTCCGATCTTCGCGCTGTGTCCAATTTAATTTTGAATTTGTTTTTGGTGTATATGCATTGCACATTCTTTTTTTGTGTAAATGCATGCGAATGAAACAAATAATCTGATGGTTTTCGTTGAAATGAAAACTAAAAATGATGCAAGCTTTTTAACTTTCATGAAGAATCATGAAACCTAAAAATAAAAAAAACAGCTATAAACGTAGAAAATGGTTACCCGAGAAACATATTTCTACATTAACGGAATTAGTTATTTTATTTTGATTTTGAAAGTACGATGGGAAAAACAAATGCAATTTTCAAGAAATTGTTTTCAGAAAAATAAATTATTTTAAAAAATAAAATTTGCTATTTCTTCTTATTGGCATTTTACTTTGTAATTTCATGAAGACAATCGAAAAATTAAAATAAAAAAATTTATTATTTGTTAGATCAAAATATAAATACAGGCTTCAAAAATAATTACCGTGAGGTAAAAAAAAGTTCTAAACCCTTTTTTTACTCCCTCGTAGCACTAGAGTTTCGCAGAATACCATATAAGAACAGCTGCTTAATTTTTTTTTCGTCATAAAATTATTTTTTCTCCGAAACATAAATTTTCTTCCAACTATATTTGCTATCTTTTATTTTAAGTTTAATTTTTGGCATTCGTTTTCTTAATTTTGTTAACTGACTTTTAATGATAAACAATTAATCAGCAACATTTTTCATAAAAGTTGCTGATTAAAAGTTGTGCAGAAAAATTCAAAATTTTTGCTTATTTTTATTTCTTTTCATTTGGAGGAACATCTATTTTGTTAAGTTTTCGAAAAAAATGAAAAATGAAAAAATAAATAAAAAATTTCTTTGACGTAAATTTCTATTTATAAAATAAATTAATTGTTTTTATAGAATAACTTATTTTGATATTCACTTGCGACCGACAAACGCAAATATACCATTTTACACAAAAGGTCAAAATTGAAGGCGTGATTATTATGAAATAGTCTGTGCAATGTGACCAAGTTCGATGAGTGTTGGACCAGCATTTTTAGTTTGTTTTTCCTTTAAAATTTAACTTAAATTATGAGCTTTTATGTATAATAAGAATGTTGATTCGAGAATTCTGTATATTTATTCAATTTTCGTGACATATCTTTTTTTTTTCCTTTTATTTTCAGTCACCGAAGCCGTCTGGTAAAAGTTCAACTGCAAAAGCAGAACACAAAGTAACTCTCATGGCCAGTGCCATGATTGCATGTACATTTTTTGCATGGACACCATATGCTGTTGCATCTCTCATGGTTTCTGCAGGATATGAGCATTTACTAGGTCCTGTTTCGTCAGTGTGCCCAGCCATATTTGCCAAAACTAGCGTCATATATAATCCTATTGTCTACTTCTTCTTCAACTCACAGGTAAGTTGAGTTTTTTTTCCTTCTTTTTTTATCGTGTGAACTTTTTTACTATCTGACTATAAATATATCTGAGCATGTAATTTTGATAGAAAATTAAAACAGGTTGTTTAATTGCTGTTTCAGGCAATTTCAAAATCTTTTGTGTATAAAAACGCAGTATCTATAAATTATTTTAATTGCTATTACACTTTCTGGCTCCTAATATTTTTTCCCGAGTGAGAATCTTTCGCACTGTATTTTGTCCGTAGAGTATTCAGTCGCGCTATCCGTGTAGGATTCTGCCCAACTATATTTGGCCAACGTGATGCTCTACCCCGCTTTATTTTACCAACTTAAAAATATCCAAATTATATTTTGTCCATTCGTGATTTCGTCTCACTTTGTTCTTTCAACGAAATATTCAGTCCAACTATATTCTGTATTGCTTTATTTGTCAAAAGTAAGAATGTCTCGAACTATATATTATCTATTTGCGATTCTGTCTCACTTTGTTCTTCCAACGAAATATTCAGTCCAACTATACTCGATCCTGCTTAATTTTACCAAAGTTAGAATATCTCGAACTATATACAATCTATTTGCGATTCCGTCTCACTTTGTTCTTTCAACGAAATATTCAGTCCAATTATATTCTGTATTTCTTTATTTTGCAAACGTAAGAATATCTCAAACTATATTTTGCCCATTTGCGATTCCGTCTCACTTTGTTCTTTCAACGAAATATTCAGTCCGATTACACTCTGCCCCACTTTATTTCACCAACCTAAGAATATTTCCAACTATATTTTGCCCATTTGCGATTCCGTTTCACTTTGTTCTTTCAACGAAATATTCAATCCAACTATATTCTGTATTGCTTTATTTGACAAAAGTAAGAATAACTCGAATTATATATAATCTATTTGCGATTCTGTCTCACTTTGTTCTTTCAACGAAATATTCAGTCCAATTACACTCAGCCCCGCTTTATTTTACCAACCTAAGAATATCTCCAACTATATTTTGTCCATTTACATTACGTTCCTCGTTGTTTTGTCAACGAAATATTTCCTCGAGCTATATCTTGTCAACTTGGTTCTCTATTCAACTATATTTTGTCTGCGATAGATTCTATCCCATTACATTTTATCCGCTTGAAATTCTGCATTACTTTATTTTGTCAACGTGAGATTTTATTGAAGAAGTATTCTATTGAAGTTAGAAATATCGAATTCAGATCCACATTCTTTTCAACATGAGAGTCTGTTCCACAATATTTCTTCAATGTCAACTAGAATATTTCGTCAACGTTTTGTCCCGCTATATTTTGCCAACATGGAATAATGTTGACCTATATTTTGTTCTTGTCCATATTGCTAGTCCACGTAAGAGTAAACATCCCACGTTCCATCGTTCTTTTAACTTTAAGTAATGATTCTTTTCATTTTGATATTGGTGGCAATGTAAATTTCTTTCCTATTGTATTTTGTATATGTAACATTCTGCTTCCCAACATTTTGTGCAAGAAATATTACTAAAATAATTTGCACGGGCGATAGCATTGTCTCATGACACATTGACCAGGAATCTTGCGATCTATCATCCTTTTAGATTTCTTTTGGCATTGATAAGTACTTTGCTAAAAACCATCGATCGTAAATTTAATTTTTAATCCCATCAATACAAATAATTTTATATCATTTTTATTGTGCTTTTATTATTAATTTTTAAAGAATATGGTTTACTCACAACATTTTTTACATTCACTATTTTTTATATTATTGTTTATTATTACTTTTTATATTTATCATTATTTTTATATTTCGATATTTTACATTATTATTCATTTATTTCGTTCGTTACACTCAATTTTTAACTTGAGTTATTTTATTAAAGTTTTAAAAAACATATTAAATTGCATTTTCTTAGCTTATAATTAAAATAAATGATGAATTTCGAAAAAAAGATTAAATTAATGGTGATGAATTAAATGGAAAAGAGACTGATGAGCTACAAAAAATTTGAGGAGTTTTTTTTATTTTTTATTTGATTTCTCCAGTCTAAGTTTTTATTCCTTTTGTGCCTAATAATTCTGCCTTCTTTTCTACCAGATTAACATGAAAATAATAAACAAAAGAAGTAAATAAAAGTAAAACAACCAACAACGAAGCAAAAATAAATATGCTGAATTATGTAAAATTCATTTATTTTAAAGTCAGTCTTTCTTATCAAATCTTTACTTGAAGGAAAACGTCTAAGATTTCGCAAATTAATGACTGTAATTCTAGAAAAACTAAGCTTTTTTTAATTCGTTTTGAAGGGTTTAATAAAAATACTTCCCCAGACATAAAAATAGTCCGTATAAATAAAGACAAAATTTTAATAAACCTTTAAAAATGCAAAACTATTTTATAATAAGTGCAAAACTTTTTGCAATTCTATTTAACACCGTGAGAAAAATATTTTTTTTTCCATTAATTTTGATAAAAAGTCAGTAGAAAAAACATTCCATCATTTTTCACGTGATTTTCCCTTGCGGGTTTCTTAGGACTTAACTTCCTCTTTTACAGTTTTTTGTTTATCGATTTGAATCTTTAAAATGTCTAGGGACTACGTACTGAATTTAATTAAGACTGTTTTAAGTTTCTTTCACTAAAACATTTTTTAAAAAAAGAGTCATAGCTCTAATACGTAAAAAGAACTCACTAGATTTGAAAAGTGTTTAAAACAACACATCAAAATATATAAAATATTAAACCCTTAAAACTTTTTTATGTAAGGAAAACATATCCAACATCTTCATATTAAATCACATTAAACTTACAAAATTTTACTAAACTTTAATACATATAAAACTAAATATTTAAAAAAATAGGATCAAGATATGAAGAAGTGCTTATTTTTGGGTGATTCAAACATATAACTCAGAAATCCCCCTCTTTTGAGTTATTTAAAGAAAAAAGGTAATTCTCCATAAAATATTTTTAAAGAATATATTTTTTAATGTAAAACTTTTAAATCTTTTTTACGAAAAACATATGAAATAAATAAAACTTGTAAAGCTTTAGAAAAACGCATAAAGTGTATACTGTATTACTCCTAAAAATATTTTTATGCGGATATAAAATTTGTAAAACTTTTTCTGTGAAAAAAGTAGTCGATTTTGAGAGAATTTTTTGCACTTAAAAGAAAAAAAACATTAAATAATCCTCAATATTTTCACATTTTAATGAGTTTAAAACGATAAAGTGATTATTAAAAACACTTTAAGTATTGAAAAGTTGGATCGAAAACGCTTTTAATTTTTTAAAACAATTTTAAGCAATTTTTTTTTGTCAACATATATAGCGCTGGCGAGAAATGGTCAAAATTTAATATAACAGTTAAAAATAATTATTAAAAAAAATTTATAAGTATTATAGTAGAATATCATTCACAAACATTCAGTGAAATTCAGCTTTAAAAACGGAAAATAATGGGTTAGCTTAAATTATTCTTAAACTTTTCATAAGTAAATAGCTTACAGTTGGAACATGCTAAAAATGTTAACACCCTTGGTCACCAGTTTCGCATTTCAATGTTAAGTCAGTTTGTTACGGATATTCATTTGCACGTTTTTATGTCCGTTGCAGTAGTAGTGACACTTTCCTATGGTGTAGTTGGCCCTAAGGGTACATAATTTTATGAAGAACAAAGTTTGTGTATCCCTTATTCCAAATCGTGACGAATGAAGTATATAACTCCCACAATGCTCCAAAAAACGGCATTAGTGCTTTGACCGACATTTGTGTAAACACATTATTTAAGGTAATGCCAGAAATAGTTTACCATTGGGAAGAATGCCGATTGACAAAATTTTAAAGCAACAAGCGTACAGCACTAGTTCTTCAATTCCAAGCTACCTCCCTATGGGGAATGGATTGTTTTACATATTGTGCTGGTAGAGGGAAGTAGGAATGCTTGTCCACATTTTTTACTGAAACAGATACGTCAGACTAATCATCAGAGGAGAAAATACCGGGCAATGGACCTTTACCTAAAAAAGCATCAGCGTACAGTATAACAGAAAATGGGTATTTACCTTAAAAAACATCTATGTAAGGAAAGGGATGCACTTCTGACCTTTCTCAACCTGCAAACCACTCGCCATATGGAAAAAGTTTATAATTGAAAGAATTATTGTTATAATGGTAATTATTGCTGCATAATTATTGTCTTGTAATCTTGCTACCGAGTGACGAAGGGTGCACATATTAAACATTTGAAGCATATACCAGAAAATTGATTCGTGTAAGCATCTTTCCATGTATCACTTCTCTTTGTATGTCATATACCTGCAAATAAACAGTCATTTGAAACTAAAAGAATCATTTAGGCTTACCACGTATTTTAATTACATTTTTCTATTTGATGTGAAACGCCCGATGCCATGAAATATGTTCTAAATCTGTATCTAAATTCCTTTCAGATAAGAGAAGCACTTCTCGCCAAACTTCCAGCCACTTGGACACGAAAAAGAGAATCCACTGTTGACATCAGCCTGGACACTAAGCGTGGGCTGACTATAGTAAATACTGTGATATCAAACCATGTTCTTGGGAATGGAAAAGAATACATTGAAACTCAGAAACTATGACTGTAGCTTATACACATCTCATGAAAATAGTACACGAAACTTGAGTTTAAAACAGTGAAATTTTGAAATTTTCATATGTAAATTAAGGTAACGTAATGTGCAGTTTCCTTATCCGAAAAAAAGTTCTGACTAAAAACTGAATGCATATGCTGTACATAGATGGTGGTACTATTATTTTCATTTAATCTTTTAGTCTTATTTCGCTATTGTCAACATTTGGTATTTTTGCATGTATTTTTATGACAAGTTTAAAAGACAAATTTGTAGCAAAAAATTAAAAGAAATCGTAAATTTTTTCAACAAAAAAAACATTTAAGTTTGTTTCTAAAAAAGTGTTAAAGATATTTAAATTTAAACATTTTTTAAATCACTATTCTTAAGGGCAAAATTTCTTTTTTCTGTGACTGATTAAATTAATAAAGTAAAGTAAACAAATTTTATAAAAATAATCACTCACTAGTTCGAACAACTAAAAACATTTTAAAAATAAAGGCAACGCCCTCTACGCTGCGCTTATCCAACTACGAAACTGCTTAAGCACCTTCTTTTAAACTATTTTTCTGGTACTTTAATGTTTGTATGTCTAATAAGAAACATATTTGTATGAATGATCTGCATAATTATTCCTTTTAAACCAAAGAGTAAATTCTTTAGTAAGATCGTTATTAATGTATATTATTTATATTTTCTCAGTTCATAAAAGAGTTTATTATATGACAAAAGGGAAATAAACAAGAATAAAAAAAAATTGACCAAACGCTTTTTTCATATAATAGAATTAAAATCGAAAATAAAGGAATTAAACTGATTAGAAAAGTTTTATGTTTCTACATAACTGTACAATATTAAATAATTTGGAAACATTAACATTAATTCGCGAATTTCTACCTTTATTCTACAATTGTTATTGGAATGAAGCAAAAAAACTTAAGTACTAATCTCATTAAATGAAGTACATCATCCTGCATCGTGTTACAAATATATTCATCGTTCTTAATTATCAGAAATCAACAAAAAATATAACAAAGAAGCAGTGTAACATTAGAATGTAAACCATATAAATCTACTGCATCAACTAACCGTTTCCTTTGAATACTGCTAGAGGGTGATATCAGAAAAGCAGCTTGATGATATCAGAGTATATCGTCCTTAAGTATTATAGTTCATGCTACATAGTGTTTTAAATATGCTTTGTTGTTTTTCATTATTGAAAAAATTTATTTTTTCTGATTTGTACTTTTTATAATTTGCATCTGTGCCTAATTTAGTATTTTTACCTTTTATACATCCAGGGGTTATAATTATATTGTTCATTATAAACCCTGAATTTTTATTTCATGTTTTAAGAAGCCACATTTTGAAATGTAATCGGAACATAAATTTCATTCATGAAAATTACAAAAAACGTGTTTTAGCGATTAAAGATACAAAATAAGTACTTAGTGCTAGGATGTACTGTTTAAAAGATGGAGATTTTTTGGGGGACTTTTGCGGACCATAATATGTTATTACCGAATTATATCTGTCTGTAGTTTACTTAGTTTTATTATTAAAATAAATTACGTGAAAAATTAAATTATTTAATGGTTAAAGTACAATGTATCTTAAGTATGTACTTCAATTTGCATGTAAGTGTGCTCTTACAGTTTTTTAAACCAAGCGAATATTGTATTTAAGTATACACTATTTTAATGTAATTTGCTTCAATGCTTAGGTACATGTATTTGCTGAGAAAATTCATATATTTAAATATTTAAATTTTTATCCAAATATACTCAAAATGTATTCAAATTTTGGAGTACAGTAGTATACAAAATCCCACTTCTTTATAGGGAAAACTACTATGTTTGAATTATGCTTTACTTTTGCCAATCACAGTTACCTTTAGCCCTAGCTGGAATTTTATATAATTGTAAGCTTGCCAATAACAGTCAATGGCTCGGTTCAGAGAAAGCGACGACGGCAACGTCTCAGCGTATAACATCTAATGTGTATTGTCCACATATGACGCCTGTTGTTTGATACGTATGGAGTGACGTCATGGATCTATTCTGCATTTGAATTGAAGTAACTATGTGTTGAGATGTTACCATCAGCGTCCACTGTGAACTAACCCTAACACCACTAATATATTTTTTTTCAACGTTGCGACGTTAATAAGGGTTAATGGTACTTTAGTAACATTTTCAACAAATGTGCAGTTTAAATATACTCTAAATATATTTATCATCATGTACTCAATAGTTGTATATAGGCCATAAGAAAAGCGTATAAGGGAAAGAAAAAGTTTCACTCATTACGCGTGTACTTATGCTACACATTTTACCATAATATCAGCATTACGCACAGAACTCCAGCTGATTTTTGAACATGCTAGATTACCGGAAATTTAACAAATTTCAATCATCAATGATAAATTCTGTTCTATCCTATTTCTACTGATAATTCTATTCTATAGAATTCTGCTTTCAACTGTCAGGAAGTGATTGAAACTTGCATTGTTATAAGATACGGTGCTTCATTAGAGATTTGTGTGATCTAGTTAGTCAGAAAAAGGTCGAAATTTCGATTGTAAGATTCCGTCCTCACCGGCATGAAATCGATAAAAGTAGGGACATAAAAGTAGAAAAATAAGTTATGAAAATAGTCGGAAAGCGATTGAAACTCATGATGTCATCATAGTTTCAGTTACAGTTTTAGTTAAACGGAAAATGGTAAGGTTTTTAATAGACGATAAATTTATTTTGGTGATAGTATTGATTTCGATGATAATATTTGAACCTATATAAACTCTTCCTAAATCGGTAAGGAAACAGTTGATACGTGCATTATCATTGAACAAAAATCTGCTGTAGAATGTTCTAGCCAATCGAAAAGTGGTCGAAATTTTGATGACAAAACTCCATCATTACCAATGCAAAATTGAATTCGTTAAAACGTATGAAAATAATATAAAACTCTAAACCTAAAATGTATGCACTTTTTACACTTGAGAATAGATCCGTTTAAATTCGGAAGTGAAAAACCTATCTCTTGGACATTAGTGACATTTTTTTATTCTATCACTTTTAACGTCTAATAATTATTTATAATGGGTCATTTTCACTCCAATATATAGAATAATGGTTCTAAAAATACTTTTGATTACCACTTAATGGGATTAATTCGAGCAACTATGTTCAGAGGAAATGTTTTATTAAATAGTATTAATGTTACCATTGTATTTGAATGTATAACAAGCAGCCATGTATAAAATCCATGTATACAATGTATACAAATATCCATGTATACAATGTAATATTTTGGTACAATGAATTACGCAGTTTCGTGTAGATGTATTCAAAAAATCTATTTATGTATTCAGCAAAAATGTGAGAATGTACAGTATATTTCGTAAATTTAATGACATAAATTATGAGGAAGAACATTTTTTTCTATGAATTGAAATGGATATTTTTATAGCAGAAGCAAAGAAGATTGGTCTAAGGGTGTGCGAAATAAAATAACGTCACTACATCTTTTGCGTTTTACCTAATGATAGGATTTGGTTTCATAAGATACAATCTACATTAATTATTACCAAACTACATCAATTTACCCTTTGACGCAGGATTTTCCTTAAACATATTCTTAATATTATTTTCATTATTTTGTAATAACTTAGGTTAAAATAAGTGAAAAATATTAAAATTATGCTTTTTAATAATTTATGGTAATAAAATGGAGGAAACACCGATGTCTCTTTCTACCTTAAAAGCAAAATCGTTTAAACAAGGCTCACTTGCAAACAATAATTTCTTAAATTCATGCTTATTTTCAGTTATTTATACGAAGGAAAATAATAATTTAAAATAATTCTTTAATTTACAAAATCAATTATTGATAAATTTCTGAATGTAAATGAAAGAAGAAATTTTCAAATTACTTTTTTTTTTTTTTTGGATTTCATATTTTAGTAGAAATATATTTCTGAGAGTCTAACAGATTTTTTTAGCAACTATTAGATTGTTTTTATAATTAAAAAATCCCAAAATATACTTTTGCTTGTAATTAGAGACTAGAAAAAATATCACCATCGGCGCCAACGGGTTTAGGGGCACACATAACAGATAAAGTGTTTAATTAGTACATATTAAAAGTCATGAAGCAAAATTAAACAACAAATACAACAAGCATGAGAATGCACAGTACATTTCATCAAACTTTTAACATTCCTTATGTAAAGTTATTTTACTTTTATAAATTAAAATGGATATTTTTATAGTGGAAATATATAGTATTTGTCTGAGGGTTTAGTGTGCAAAATAAAATAAAGTCATAAACTCTTTATATTTTTACCAAATGATTAGATTTTTATGTATTAAGATGCAATCTTCCAATTTGAGGGACCTACGGAAGATACTTACAAACTAAACAAAAAGTGCTTTTTGCAAAATCAGACACATTTTTAGCAAGTGTAACTGTTAACAAAATATTAGATTTTCTGCTTCTAAGATACTAATCAGGGGACTATCAGGTGAAATCAGGAAACTCTAGCATCAGTACACTGTGAAAAGTTACGGATCAAATTACGGTATAAAGTACTAATACATTTGTAATTTGGGTGCATCATCCATAAAATCCCTTTTACCATAAAATCCATTTTCACCATTATACCGTACTTTTTACAGTTATATTTATTTAAAGTGATTCAGTGATTTCATGGTAATCATTACTATAGAAATTATGGTGTATGAGATTTTTTTGTTCCGTAACATGTCCCGGTAAAAATGCATTTTACGGAAAAAAAATATACCGGCACCCTGAGTGCCTGTACTTTTTATCGTAATTTGATTCAAAATGTTTTCAGTGCAGTTAAGTCTGATAAGCAGTCGAAAGTTATTTCTATTTTTACCACATTTTTCATATTTGTAGAATTCATTTCTCCTATAAATAAAACTGGCTAACTAAAAACTATTAAATTTTCATATTAGTTAATTATTTCTCATTATTTAATTAAATAATCATCAGAAACTTTGTGTCCACTTTTGACATTAAAATGTAGAAATTTTTATACTCTCTTTATATGTTAAATGTCAAAATATTAGATGTATGAAATTTAAAGGAAGTTGCTGATGCAGCTTTCGAGATTTTTTTCCCTATCTCAGACATTATTTAGGCACTTTTTTTAAAATAGAAAACTTTGCAATTTAAAATATATTTGTTTTATAATTACGTATAATATCATCATTATGATTTACAATAATAAATATTTACTAAATATTGTTTT